CACACTCGTGAGAGAGCGAGGAAACACAATGCGCCGTCACGGTTTTCTTAATCGTTTTCGATCTACCCGTTTCCCCGACAAGGGTACGGATCCCTTCAATGGTCGACTTCAACTTTGACAGCTTTGACGAATCTTCTTTCTCGTATCGTTTTCAAACATGATTCGCGAGAAATTTTCGCGGATGAATCTCGATCGTTCGATTAATTTTAGGAATTTAAGAAGTTAAGAATTAAATTAAAAATTAAAGTTAAGAATTTCTTATTTGGAAATTTTTATAACACGAGGTAAATCGAGGATTTTTTGCTTTTCTCTTAAGATTCAGATTATAACTTTGTTTTCTCGTATTATTAACAGGAATTAAGGAATTTTTCGTTACAATTTAAAAATTTTAATGATGTTATTATCGAAATGCATCTATATAATTCAAATTTATTTTTAAAAACTGTCATTCTTCTTCTTTTTCATATCGTTTCTATGTCCTTTCCATATCTTTTATCAGCTCATTTTTATACTTTTTCTTTTCCTTTTTTAAAAGAGATTGTAATAAATTTATACAATATTAAATATAATTATAATTAGTAATTTTTCAGTAATTTCCTTATTAGAATTATCCATATATGATCTTATTTCAATAATTCTATGTAAAATGTTGTATATGTGATGTGTTTTTTAACGAATCATATATTTTTGCACTAATTAATGCAATTCTTATTTCCCATATAACAAAATATTAATCACATGGTAAAAAAATTTATTCGTTTAGAAGATATTTTAACTTGAATTTTATATAATATAGAGAGTTCCTCGTCTTTAAAGAAATTTTACAAAAAAATTCAAATTATAAAATTATCTTTCAAAATAATGATTTTTTTACTATATATAATTTAATACTTGGGTTACAAGAAATGATGCATCAATTATTGCATTCAAAAATATAACTCTTATTGAAGAAACACATGACCTTCGTATATTCTTTACGAGTTGGCCACAAGTTATTTTCATTTATTTCATTTATCCTATTCTTCTTTTTCCAACGAGAAGAACGATGAAATGAATTTCTCATTGTATTATACGAAACAACAAGCTGGTAACGTTTCAATAATTTTCTCGCGAACAAATTAGATCGTGTTTAAACACTTTTGTTTTTTGTCCCACGTGTAAAAAAGCTCTACGTTGCAACTTTACGATTCCGATCGATAATGCATGCCGAGATTTGCAACATGACATTATAAATAACTTCACGCGTGTTGCGGTCTCTCCTTTTGCAAATCTCGCTCGATGATCGACATTGCGGCGGTACACTTGCCCTCTTTTCATCCTTTCCATTTGCTCCATTTCTTTCTTCTCTCGTCCTTCTTGTTTTACAGCCTTGTCTCGATTTTTTGTCCGTACCGGCAATTTTGTACGGCAATTCGAACAGTACGTGAGGACGCAATCAGCGGTAAGACGAGTGGCTCGATTTTTTTCAATCCGCTGTATCAATGTGTTAATTTAACTTTCGCTCTTTTTCCCGCTCATTTATATCTTACAATAGTAGACTGTATCGAGTTTCACATTTTCCTTTCACAATTCGAGCATGAATCATATTTTTGTATAATATTATCATCGATTTCAACGCTGCAAATGATTTGTTTACATGTCCTGATTCCTTTACCCGAAGTTCGAGAAACAGAAACGCAAAATAACGGAGAATGTAATTTATTTAAAAGAAGTTTGGAAAATAATAATCAATAAATGTGTGGATGTACGAGACGAAACATAATAAAGTAAGGATATATTTAATATTGTTGTTCAATCGAATTCATTTCTTTAATCCTTGCCTTTCTTTCTTTATTTAAAAATTTAATTACGATTATCACGTGATTTTATAATTACAAGATAAAGAACAGAATAATCCATCACTTTTGATATTTAAAAATTGAAATACTTTTTATAATTTTCTATACGTTTTGAAATGCTCCATTTAAATCAAGAATACCATCAATAAATGTTAAAACTATTTTAATATTATCTAATAATATAAGACATAGATGAAAAAAATATTCATTTAATAATATTGATAGATATATGTATATATGTACACGAAGTATACGCATTTTTGTTTAATCTCAAACTATTGTGTTTTTGCCAAGAATTAAATTTTAAACTCTTAGAAATATCATCGTGTATTTTTCAAGGTAAAAAAAAAATATAAATATATCTGTAGATTTAATTGAATGGAATGGAGAAGATATATATTCTTCTACTTTTTTTTATCGGAGCCTCGTTATAGCAAAGATTCTTCTTTGTAATAAGAAAAACTGTTCACAGTACGCCTTTACTTCGTAAATTTTTCCTCCTCATCTAATTTTTCCTTTTTTGAAACAATTGGACGAAACGTTTGAAAACCATCTACTTACGAAATATCTCTCTTCTTGCTTTAGCAACTTTGCTTTTGTTGCATCTTTAATGTTTTCTTTACAAATATCTTGCAGCTTACAACACAGTACGACGATGCTTCTAAAAATTCTTTAATTGTTATTCATTTTTCTCCTCTTTCTTTCTTTCTTTCTTTCACATGTATTCCTACTTTCTGCCGTATTCTTACTTCTTTACTTTATTTTACTTTACTCCCTACTTTATCCTCGTTTAATACTTACAATGGAGCATATTGCAGACAGTAACAGTCGGTATTATGACTTACGTTTTCTTCGGGAAGGCGCCTCATTGATCAAGCAGTTCATTAGTAGAATAGTACCGCTTATAACTTATACATTGAAGCTATATCTTCACGTTAAATCTTAACCTTTCGGTATTCCTGCAGGTTCTTATTACAGCAACATAAATCAGTAAAGTAGGTGCAAACATCGTGTAAAAATATTACTATACTTTATACTGCAACAAATCCTAGCAGATACGTAAAAGTAATGGCTGTATTTACTTCGAAAAATCTTTATTGATACTTATTGCTGTTGGAGGTTGACACGATATCAATAAGCCAAAGTAGTTTTCTTTATTAAATTTTTATACGATGAAACATTCATTTTTTTCGAAACAATAAAGAAGAATCTATTTTTTTTTTTGAAAGAGACTAAAGTTTTATTCGTTACCATAACATTTTCACTTCAATAGCATTTGATATTTTTTCATATTATAAAACGAATATTATGAGATCATATTAAAAAAATATCTTTCAAAGGATGATCGAATATTTTCTTTCCAGAGATCGTACGTTTCCAAAGATTAATTTCATTCTAAAAAATCTAAAATCATCGATTGCAAGATAACGAATCTTATATTTCACAAACAAACTCCATCCTGTAGAGAGAGATTTATCGTACAAATTTCAAATCCTATTCAAAAACAAAAAAAAAAAAAAAAAGACATCCGGGAAGAAAGGAGGAAACCACCAACGAATATGAAACGATCGTATCCGTTTTCGACAAATCGCGCGAGCATCGCGCGCGCGGTGCCAGAAGGGAGAGGACGACAGAAAGAGCTCCGAGACACCCGTAGGAGCTCACCGGTTAACTTTGAGGTCTCAAACGAAAAGCAGTTAGGTCGTCACGCGTTGCGGTTTTGCAGATTCGCCGGCGTTGTCGCGGAAATTGAGCGGATTCAAGCTTGAACCCGGTGATGGAATGGAGTTGACAGAGGCTAAGGACAGAGGAGAGGGGATAGGAGGGCCCGCGGTGGCGGAAAAGAAGAGGGAGAGAAGCGAAAAAAGGGAGAAGAAAGGACGAGTGCAGACGCGAGGACGGATAGTTGCAGCGAAACGAGCGAGGAAAGGAGAGAGAAACATAGTAGAGAGAGCGAGGGTGGCGAACGGAGGAGGACGGATTGTTTGGTCGGCGCAAAGGAAAAAAGGAGAAAGAGAGAGAGAGAGAGAGAGGCAGCAAACGGCAGAAGCTACAAGAACCGTCGGTGAAGCGAAAGGAGACACGACGGGCGCCAGCCCAAGAGACACACAGGTGGGCGTGGCGCCTATCCCTACGCGGGTCGCCACGATATGAAATTATATACGTTGGCTAAGGGTATATCTCCTCTCTTTGTTCCCTTTCCTTCTCCATTCCGCGGGCGCGATGTTGCATCGTCTCGTTCCTTCGTTCGCGTCGCGGCTCCCTGCGTCCGCATTTGGTTGCGGGCCCCCGTATCCCGGTTGCAGTCGCAAAAGCGAAGCGCGGCCGCGAAGCACAACACGAATAAATAAGAAAAGCCTTGGTGCGCGCTTGTTCCGTCACGAGCTGT